GGCCCCGGGAACGGGGGAGCAGCTGCATAAATTATTTCAGTTCTTTTGGAAGGGTGAGTGGTGTTTTCTCCCATGATTTATTTATTCAATCATTTGTTTATATCAATATGAATGCATTTATTAAGGTAACAAATTTTTTTAGAAAGAGATTTTTGGTATAGGACATGTGTGCTTGCCCGAGACAGAGAGACAGAAAGCGAGAAATCACCCCCTGAGGGGGATGGTTCAGGATTTTGGGCATGCACACATCTGTGCTTGGTGTTAGTTTTAAGCTTCCCAGTCTGGAACTTGCACCTCAGTGGACTGACTACATGGGAGTCCAGCGATGTAACCATTATGCCATCTGCTGGTCCTGACCTTTCCCCTTTTTAAGAGTACAATATATTTTCACTAACTGTAGTTACAATGCTGTACATAGACCTCTTTTGCTTACTGCTCCTACATTCTGTAACTATTGGGTGGTTGGAAAAGTCATGACATATTTTTTCTATGTTTTTCTATACAAAAATGCATCATGATGGCAGGTGCCAGTGCTAGTGTGCACAGGGAGGCCTTGGCGTTCGAACCCAGGCCCTTCCCATGTGGCCGTGCCGTCACAGACTACTGTGTTACCACTGCGCCCCCAGCTGGCCCTCGACCCTTGTCTTATTCTCTGTTATAATCCAGTACGATGTCACTTACCGGCTACTCAGGCTGTCCCTCTGGTCTGGCCTGTCCCTTGGCATTCTGAACACCTGCTGACTTGAGGAGAGGGGCACTTCTCTGACCCCCTGCGGACTTCGTGGGAGGCACTTTGCATTCTCCCCCGCTTTGAATGACACGCTTTTGTAAACAGGCTCGGTCTCTTCCTCCCTGGCCCACAGTTGTCACTCCTGTGCTAGGAGTGGTGTCATGGAGGAGTGGGAGGAGCCCCGAAGGAGAGTTTGGGGGTAAGTATGTCCCTGGGCCCTGCTCCTCATCAGCTGCGTGATTGGGAACAAGTCCCCTAAGGTTTGGTGGGCGAGAGGGGGACAGCACATGTCTCTCCCAGGACAGTGGCCAGGGTGCATAGTGCCTGCACATGGGAGGTGCTTGGCCTGGAGTCTGGCCCTGGTCCTGGTAGTCAATGACAGGGTGATGCCTTTTTTTTTTTTTTTTGAACCCCAGAAAAGTCCCTTACCGGCTACTCAGGCTGTCCCTCTGGTCTGGCCTGTCCCTTGGCATTCTGAACACCTGCTGACTTGAGGAGAGGGGCACTTCTCTGACCCCCTGCGGACTTCGTGGGAGGCACTTTGCATTCTCCCCCGCTTTGAATGACACGCTTTTGTAAACAGGCTCGGTCTCTTCCTCCCTGGCCCACAGTTGTCACTCCTGTGCTAGGAGTGGTGTCATGGAGGAGTGGGAGGAGCCCCGAAGGAGAGTTTGGGGGTAAGTATGTCCCTGGGCCCTGCTCCTCATCAGCTGCGTGATTGGGAACAAGTCCCCTAAGGTTTGGTGGGCGAGAGGGGGACAGCACATGTCTCTCCCAGGACAGTGGCCAGGGTGCATAGTGCCTGCACATGGGAGGTGCTTGGCCTGGAGTCTGGCCCTGGTCCTGGTAGTCAATGACAGGGTGATGCCTTTTTTTTTTTTTTTGAACCTCAGTTTCCTTATCTGCAAAATCAGGGATGAGGTCTGGTGGGTAATCTTGGAAGACCCTCTCCCCCACATTCTCTGAAGGGCCAGCGGGGCTGGGTGGTTTGGAGACTGCGTGAGGAGGGGCCGCAGCCCCGGGGCCTTTGCCTTATGCTGGAACCTGCCAGTCAGAGAGACGGCTTTTTGCCCTAGCAGGCAGCGCTTACCACCAAAAAAAGTGACCTGAGACCTCCCCTTCCCACAGAGTATTTTTGACATCAGCTCTCAGCTCCCAGCTGGGCACCGGCTGACGGTCACGGAGCAGAGTCCAGCACAACAGAGTGCCTAGCTGCTGGCACCGTGCTGAACTCAGCTGCTCCCTGCATTCCTAGACATCTGGTCTCCCTCCTCAGCCGCAGTGCTTGTCAGCTCTGTGGACAGTGGGATTTGGGTTGGGTTTCTGGTGTGATTTCCGAGGTCGGTTACAGGTGCTGAAACCAGGGGCCAGCGGCTGGCTGGGATGGGCGTGGCTGCTTGTTCAGTTTCCTGTGGGAACTCGCTCTCTCAGCCTCAGTCAGCCTGATGTGGGCCAGTTCACCAGAGCAGGAAGGGGCAGGTCCTGGAAATGGGAGTGTTGGGGCAGGGCTGGGGGAGCAGCCCGGGCACCGGGGGAGGGGCGGGTGAGAGGGGGCTGGAGGATGGCCAGCTGAGAGTCTGCTGGGTATCAGTCCCAGAGAAAGAAGGCCGATGGTCACTTATTCAAACTGGGTCACAAATAAGGGATCCCAAGGCTTTGGCCCAGACAGGAGGTATCCCAGGGTTCAGGCTGGGCAGGGGAGTGAACAGAGGTAAAAAGGAATCAAAGTGTAGGCCTCCTGGCCAGGTGGTGGTGCAGTGGTAATACAACTGCTCTGCTTGCAAAAGGGCCCAGGTTCATGTCCTAGGGCCACCCTGAGCACACTGGGCTGTGGTTGCGTGCGTGATCAAGGCCAGCTGAGACTGGATAGAATCGTGGCATGAAGACCCCATTGGGGTGCTGTTTCTCTTCTTCTCATGGAAACATTTAAAAAAAAAAAAGGCTTGGAACCAACAGTTGGTGTAATGTCTACATCGCTGGACTCCCATGTAGTCGACCACAGTTTGAGTCCTGGACCTGGTGGCCTAAACTCACGCCAGGTGCATGTGCATATGTGCCCAAGATCCCGAGAGGAGAATGGAGGAGAAGGGATTGCGGTGTGGCCATCCCCCCATGGGGGGTGATTTCTCGCTTTCTGTCTCTCTGTCTCTCTCTGTCTTTCTGGCGAGCACATGCGCCCTATAGCAAAAACCTCTCCAAAAAAGAAAAAGGCTTAAAAATATTAAAAAGGCATGGGCCAAGGAGGATTCAGAATGTCCACTTCAGGGCGCAAGGACAGGGGTCTGTGGCTCTCTTGTGTACTGACTCACAGTACAGAGAGCACACGTGTGCACAAAGATGCAGACATGCTGTTCGAGGAAGGGCTGAACAAAAGCGATGGATGGAAACGCCCATCAGCAGTCGACCACAGTTTGAGTCCTGGACCTGGTGGCCTAAACTCACGCCAGGTGCATGTGCATATGTGCCCAAGATCCCGAGAGGAGAATGGAGGAGAAGGGATTGCGGTGTGGCCATCCCCCCATGGGGGGTGATTTCTCGCTTTCTGTCTCTCTGTCTCTCTCTGTCTTTCTGGCGAGCACATGCGCCCTATAGCAAAAACCTCTCCAAAAAAGAAAAAGGCTTAAAAATATTAAAAAGGCATGGGCCAAGGAGGATTCAGAATGTCCACTTCAGGGCGCAAGGACAGGGGTCTGTGGCTCTCTTGTGTACTGACTCACAGTACAGAGAGCACACGTGTGCACAAAGATGCAGACATGCTGTTCGAGGAAGGGCTGAACAAAAGCGATGGATGGAAACGCCCATCAGCAGGAGGCTGGTTTATTTACAATGCAACCTAACCAGTGAACATTCTGGGGATAGGCCTGTGTGGGCCGCTGTGGAAGACCTTGTAGGACGCAG